GGGGGAGAAGGGCGCTTTGAGGCGGTGTCGTGATGGTGCGGCGCTTCCCCGCAGCGTGATCCGGCTGATCATGCAGTACCTGAAGGAGAACAGCCTCCACCGAGCGCTCGCCACCCTTCAGGAGGAGACGACCGTGTCCCTCAACACCGTGGACAGCATCGAGAGCTTCGTGGCTGATATCAACAGCGGGCACTGGGATACAGTGCTGCAGGCCATACAGTCCCTCAAGCTGCCCGACAAGACCCTCATCGACCTCTACGAGCAGGTCGGGTCGGCAGGCTGTGCACAGCCTTTCCTGCTCTGTCCACGGTAGAAGCCTTCTCTGGTGCTTCCCAACCTGCCTTTGCCGATGCAGATGTTTATCTTCTGTTTCAGGTTGTGCTGGAGTTGATTGAGCTCCGGGAGCTGGGTGCTGCCAGGTCTCTCTTGAGGCAGACAGATCCCATGATCATGCTAAAACAGACTCAGCCAGAGCGGTACATCCACCTCGAAAATCTTCTGGCCAGATCTTACTTTGATCCTCGTGAGGTATGCTGTGCCCTCCCCAGAGACCTCATGATGCTATTCTGCATCATCCCTGCCACTGGCCAAAGCTGCTAAAGGATGCTTACAGCATCATCTCATTTCCATTTCGGGTGTAAGATCCTGGAATCCACCTGAGCCTTCAGGATTAGATTATTCCAAGGAAACTTTGTAATTTGATGGTTTTATGGGTTTTATGAAGCGTTTGCAGAATGATGTCTAATAGTTTGTCACAAGGCAAAACAGTGGTTTTGAAGGATGGTGAAGCTGGGTGGTTGGGAATTTACTTCCATATCCTGTTACAGGATGACACTGGCCTAGTCACTTGACATCTTTGCCTTGCTTTTCCTGCCTTTATATATGCCAAAGAAAGCGTGTTAGGAATAAAGCTGTTGTTGTATAACGATAGCAATAATATTAACAGCAATAGTATTGATAGTAGTAACAAAAACAAGATATTCTCTCTGACTGAAGTGTAAAGCTGACGTTTTTAGTCAAAACATGCATATCCCAAGTGTTTAAAGGGTTGGAGATAAAGAGAAGGGCTGTTTTGCATGCCGCATAGAAAATCTGAAGGGGATTCAGCTCAAAGCAATGGAACTTTCTCTGGCAAATCACTTAGAAGAATGACTTCATAAAAAGTAACTTCTTTCTAGGCATACCCAGATGGAAGTAGCAAAGAAAAACGGAGAGCTGCTATTGCACAGGCTTTAGCTGGAGAAGTCAGCGTGGTACCTCCGTCTCGTCTTATGGCGTTGTTGGGCCAGGTAATCCTGTAAAAAGAATGTTTCAGTAGCTTATTCAGTTTCTCTAGATACAGAAACTGACTTCGCTGCATAAAATTGCCCAGTTGATTCTCCAGCTCTGTAGAAATAAAGCCTGAATATTGCGGAGTTGCATATATTGTAAGTTAAAAATGATCTTTTATCATTTTAGTAAGAATTCAACAGCTGCAGAAAAACTCGGCCCTCCGGGGGCAGATTTCTTCCCATGGAACAAATGCTCCAGCTTAGAATGATTATTCTCAAAATAAATATTAACACATTCAAAAGTTATATTTAACATAGTTGGTGTTCTTATAACTGCTGATTCTCAGAACATACTCATTTATACTGTGTATAGACAGTACTTTGTATTTTGTTGGTTTGTGGTTTATGTCTTACTTCTAAAACTGACAGGTATGCTGAATAAACTCTTTTTAACTAGCTAATCTGTTCTGTGACACAAAGCAACTAATCTGCCCAAGGGGTTTTACAGGACTGTCTTTTGAACTAGGCTACTCGAAGAGAGGTTATGAGTTCTTTCTAATTTTAACGCATTCACTTCTGAGCAAATAGACAACTCGGCTGATCAGGTGATTTAAATTAAAGCAAGATCAGACCTATCACACTGCCTGGGTGCTATGTATTAAGTACCAAAGATAAAATGAGAAAAGTGGGTCTGAAGTCAATCTCACTTGCAAAGAGCATTTGGGAATAACCTGTTGTTTGCAGTCATGATTTGGGAAGCATAACGTAACAAATCTCAGTTGTGGTTGGCTCAAATGATTATTTACCTCAAACTGTCCAGGGAACACTTTGTGGTTACAAGAAAATATTGCTGTATTGTGCTTATGGCACCAAAACTTCATTAACTGATACACAGCTGTATGGCTTTCAACTCCTCAAAAGGCACTGAAGTGGCAACAGCATCAGGGCCTGCTTCCTCCTGGTATGACAATTGACTTGTTCAGAGGCAAAGCAGCTGTGAAAGATGTGGAGGAAGAAAAGTTCCCCACACAGTTGAGCAGACATATTAAGGTGAGATTTTATTTACTTTTTATGTGTTTTACCATTTCTTGTTCCTTCCTGTTTCAGTGTTTTATGTTGGGAGTAAAAAAAAAAACAAAAAAAAACAAACCTTTTGCATCTTTTCTGTTGTCTTTTTTTGTAAAGAATTTCTCACTCCCCCTCGATCTCATGAGGAGACTTCTATTGAGAGTGTGAAATGATGCTTCTTAACAACATTGGAGCGCTCATGGTATTCAAGAATATGACTAACACATTAGCCGTTGACTTAACAGTTCAGAATTGCTCAGTCTTTGGAAATGGTTGCTTAGACCCCTTCTTTATTTGTGAAGGAAAATACTAGCGTCTTTAACTTGTGCTTGCATATTAACTTCTGTGAACCACTGAGGTTTTGATAACAAACTAAGTTATGTATAACATCATAATTAGTATCTCCTTTTCAATAACTTTATCGTACAAGTTTCAAAAGAGAAACAAAATTGTGCTGTAATATTATAGTGGCCCTGTAGCACTTAGAAGGCGGAGTAGCCATTCCCCTCCTTTAAAGCTTTTTCAACTTCGTCAAGCAGTTCTCTGCAGCCAAAAGCTTCAGTTTGCTGTAGTAGCTCTGCTTATTTTCATATGAATGGAAGATGCTACTTTTCAGAAGTCGTGACTTGGTGTTTATGAAATCACTTTGTTGCGTGTAGTGGCAGCTTGAGAGAAATACTTAATTAGTACAGGTAAACAGAACAGGTTCTGATTTTTGGATGTTTATATTGATTAATGGAAACATTTTTATACTCTCTTGTCACGGTTGCTTATCTTTTTTCTTCAATTGAAAAAGAAGGAATAGCAAACATGTTTGTCTCTAAAAATGTCACTGAAGAAACACGACAAATGAAGCAATTCATACTACTTTGGAAGTGGCTCAAACCCGCTAAGAATATACATTGGGTGCTGGCAAGGTGTTGGTTAACGTTCACAGTTCATTGCGAAAACAAAAGAAGACAATGAACGTGATCACTTCTGTAAGCATGGAGCGGTGAGGAGAAAGTTTCACAGATGTTACTCAGTCAAAATGAGGGGTGACTTTAAGTGCTAAGGTGCAGCCATTGACATGTTTTCTACACCTTAATAGTAAATACGTGATTGTATACCTCCAAAAAATACTGTATTTTTCTGACTCAAATAAACAACTTGCCTTAGAGTTAAAAGCATAGTCTTATTAAACTTGATTTATATTCTTTTATAAAACAGTTTGGGCAGAAGTCACATGTGGAGTGTGCTCGGTTTTCCCCGGATGGCCAGTATCTAGTCACTGGCTCCGTGGATGGTTTCATTGAAGTATGGAACTTCACTACTGGAAAGATCAGGAAGGTAAGCTACTTCTTATTTCAAATGGATAGCCCATTGGCTGGAGTACATGGTTTTATTCTTTTGAGATTAGGCCTCATGTTTTTTTCATTTCTCAGGGACAATGAATATGAAGAGGGTGTTTGTGCTGGTGATTCAAGTACCGGCCTGGAATTGATGGATTCCCCTGTGTGATGATGTGTTTTTCCTCTCTGGGTCTCTAATCCTTGCTTTTGAAACAAGGACAGCAACATTTTTCCCGTTTCTCTAAGGCTATGAGGGATACGTTTGATCATGAGCACTTGAAATCCATCACAGAAATACCACATAATGTTATGCGTGTGTACGGTAGTAGGCAGCCTGCCTAGGCCAACGTTTGAGGTTAAGCTAATAAGCAAAAATTGACAGCGCTCCAATGTCCTTGCCAGCTTCATCAATCTATGGCAGCAGTCTGACCGGAATGACAGAACCGCATAGTCTGCTTAATGGTAGATTGTAAAATGTATATGCTGAAGTTAAAAGTGCTAGTGCTGTTGCACCTTGGCTTAAAATACACTTCATTTAATTCGTGATTGTGACTGGTGGGTCTTGTCTTTTCATTTAGGATCTGAAGTACCAGGCACAAGATAATTTTATGATGATGGATGATGCGGTGTTGTGCATGTGCTTCAGCAGAGATACAGAAATGCTGGCAACTGGAGCACAAGATGGAAAGATCAAGGTACAAATCTTTTTGTGGAGTGTGTAGGTGGAGGTCGTGATTGGAAAGATTTTCATGCAATTACAATAACGTTGTGGTTACATGCGGAAATAAATTGTTTAGTGTGGCCTGGAAACTAAGATGCGCATCAGGTTGCATGTTTAAGCTTCTGTGATCTCATAACATAGGAACTACCTCTGTTTCATATGCTGTTTCGTCTCTAGGTGTGGAAAATCCAGAGCGGTCAGTGTCTGAGGAGGTTTGAACGAGCGCACAGTAAAGGTGTTACCTGCCTCAGTTTCTCTAAAGACAGCAGCCAGATTCTGAGTGCTTCTTTTGATCAGACCATCAGGTAAGAATAAATTGAGAAGGTGTGAGCTGTAATGCAAGAGAAATGAGAATAGAGATTTCACATTAACGAGTTAAACTTTTGAATATGGTTTGTTTTGATGTGGAATGTGATCCTTCTGTGTTTTGTTTTAATACAAACAGGAGTGTACCTTGAGGGTGGGAGAGGAACAGTTGGAGCACTTGACCGCTCACTTTGCTTAACTTGCTATGTTCCGGGTTTGGGGCCCACTTACTTCACCTGTGGTATCTCATTGACCATGAGTTTTTTTTCTTTCTAGGAGCCTCCTAGCTTAAGAAGCAGTTGTGCCTCTAAAAACAGTAATTTTCCTAATAGGCTTAGAGAGGGGGGAAAAAAACAGTCTAGGGGTAACAGTGTAATAGCATTGTTTGAGACAGACTGGACAGCCTAATCAGAAGCACTCACTGGTTTTTAATGCGTGACGGTAACTGATTTCATCCAGTTCGTCTTACCTGTGCAGCAGTGCTCCTGCTCTGAGAGGAGTGTTAAGTATGTTGGTCCAACTTTTCTGCTTCCTCTTGATAGTCACAGAATAGAGCAAAGTTGGCAAAAGTCATGTGCTTGGGAATTTTTGTTGATGGTACTCCTGGCTCTCCAGTGAGCTGTGAATGATGGGCTGTGTGTATCCCTGACAGCCGCACAGCAGCGGGAGGAAAGAAGAAGCTCCTCTGTGCAGTCAGGGACAAATCACTTCATATTATGTTGCTACTGGCTATCTAGCTCATGCAATGCTTGCAATAATGGTAAAAGGGTTCTTGTCCCAGCTCACATCCTGAGGCCCCATTGTCCTTAAATCTATGGTCCATGCCCCCACGTGCATTCCCCTACGTGTCTTGATCCACAGAACTTCCCTTGAGAGTGGGAATGAAAGGAGGAAGAGCCCCAAGAAAATGTTTTCTATCAGCATCTGTTCTCCCCAGCAGTCTGACGGGAAATAACAGAAATCCAACCCTGGATGATGGCCAGGTAGATGGACTCTGGAAGCTTCAAGGGCAACGGTTGCAATCTGTATCTGAAACGGGCAGCACAGCCCTTTCCTGGCTTTAGGTTTTGGTTTTCATCTAAGTATCTCTGCAAAATAGTTTGCATATCAATGAGGCCGTATCTAGAATAGTGTGTCCAGTTTGGGCCCCTTGTCTGCCTCGTACAAGGAAAGTATGGACAAGTCAGAGTGACTCCAGTAGAAGGTCCATGAAGATGGTTGGGAACTGGAGCACATGAGATACAAGGAGAGGCTGAGAGCTAGGCTTTTGGTCAGCCTGGAAAAGAGAAAGCTGGAAAGGTATTTAACTGCTCTCGTCTAGCAAATAGTTATGGATAAGACAGACTCTTGTCAGAGGTGCACAGTTCTTCCGAGGGATGCAAGCTGCAGAAAGGGGAAATTCTGGTTGTATACAAAGAAAAACTTTTTCCCCTTGAGAAGGGTGCGGTGCTTGGACTGGGCACATAGAGCTGAGTCAGGGTAGGGAGATCTCAGTCCTTGAAGGCATTCAAAACTGAATTGACAAGACTATGAATGACGTGATCAGACTTGGAAGCTCTCCTTGCTTTGAGGAGAACATTAGACTAGAGATCTTCTGAAGTCCTTCTAGTCTAAATTATTCTGTGGTACTCTGACATATACCACTGTTTTGGAATTGCTGGTACACAAAAGAGAGGTGGCCAGATTCTTATACAACTGCAATGTCAGGATATAACTTCTTTCAGTGATCAAAAAGAGCCATAGAGAAAGGATCATTTTCTTCTCTCCACTTCCAACATATAATCCGCTTTTCTACAGGCTGTCTCCGCAGCTCTGCCTTTGGACGTAAGAGCTCTGAAACCTCGATCCAGAAAGCGATGCTTCTTTTCTCATGCAGGCCTTCCCCTACTAGGTAGCACCAGTACTATGCTGGGATATGAGATGTCTGTCTTAAACCTAGTCTGTGTAGTTCAGTTTCCCAGGAGCTGTGGCGGTCCTGTTGGGCAGCCAAACTGTTTCTGATATGGAAGGCTCATAAGCTGAGGTCTTGGGAACTGTACAACTTGCTTAATGCAGTTAGGCTAAACTGAGTGAACTTGGCATTACCTGACACTTTCCACAGGCTAAGACTGAACAGTTAGTTCAGGTTAGCTGGTGTGCAGTTAATCTGTTAAGCAACAGTATCACAAACGTGCTTCATGATTAAGTGATGGATTGGTGTGCGACAGGCATCTGTAATCACAGAAAGTGTGCAGCCTTCATATAAGGCAAACTAGACATGTATTTATGAAACTGTGTGGTTTAGAAGGGACCTCTGGAGCTGTCTAGTCCAATATGTTCCTCAGAACACAGCAAAGCTCTCCGCTTGATCAGGGCCTTGTCCGGTTGAGTTTTAAAAATCCCTGCAGGTGGAGACCCCACCACTTCTCTACACATCTGTCCTAGAACTGCACCACCCTCGCTGTGGGAAAATTCTCACTTGGAGGTAAGGCACGAATTTTCCCCTTTTTTGTAACTTGCGCCCTTTGCCTCTTGTGTTTTCGTGTCTGAGAAGAAACTGGCTCCATCTACTCTTTAAGACCCCGTTAGGCGGCGGTGTTAAATGGTTAGAACTTTCCGGACGGCTAGTAAGGTCTTAATTTTAGCGAGTTTCACATCTTTTTCAGGGATCCTTGCAGGGAGGATAAAAGCAAGAATTAAAGTTGATTGTGATTTTTAACACTAGGATTTGCCACAGCGTGAGAGCATTTTAGTGGCTGTTTAAGTTACCAGATGGCCATCAACCTCATCTGAGCCCAGTTTCTTAGAGTTCTTGGCATCCAGAAAGTCTTTCTCAACGTTTGTGTGGTGGGGTGGTTCCGGCCCCGAACCTGTTTGGCATCTTCTCTGCTGTTCTTGTTTCCGAGTAGAATTTGGCTACCGCTGGGTAGATCCGGATCGCAGCAAAGCTCCTCTGTTGTTGCTACCAACTGCTTTTTGGTGCGATTGAAAGCCACTTAGATTATTTGTATCTAGTTTCCAGTTCTTTTTCTTCTTTGGGGCTCTTCTGATTTATAATACTTCTACAGGTTAAATTTTTAATTTTTGTCCATAGGAAGCAAAGAATTCAGTCGTCTTCAGCTTTCCTTTCTAAGGTGAACATGTCTGTCCTCCTCAGCCTCTCCTCACGAATCTTGTGGGCTCGTGGTAGTCTTCTGTCTGTCTCAGTTACTGGATGCTTTGGCTTGTTCATGTATCTCCTGTACTGTGGGGCCAAAACTGGGCAGAGTACTCCAGATATGGCCGTACCTCTGCCAAGCAGAGAGGAAGCTTGATAGGCAGACTGTGCTTCTTGTGATGCGTCCTGGTATGTGGCTCGCTTTCCTTGCTGCTAAGACACACAGCTGATTTCAGCTTGTTGCCCCCAAGGATACCCTGGCCCTTTTCTGCAGAGCTCTGCTGCAGCCAGTCAGTCCCCAGTTGATTTAGATGCCTGAGGTTGTCCTGTTAGATGTGGGATTCGCACTTACCTGTTGTGAACATCATGAGGTCCCTGTCAGACCCTCTGTCCAGCTTCTCAAGGCTTCAGAATTACTTGTCATTGCTTCGGACCTATGCTTGCAGGATGTGAGACTTGTATTGCAAAGCGGATTCATGCAGTACGTGGTGATTGTGTATGTTTCATGTTTAATTGAATGGGATCGTGAACTTTATTCAATAGCCTCTTGCCTGTACTTTAAAACTCGGTGGTAGTTATTTTACTGCTTTAGATGAAAAGGAAGATACTGTAAGGATCTGGAAGCAACTGCACAGTGAACATGTTACAGAACATTTAATGGGAGATGTTAATCTGTTTAAATCCTAGTATATATGAATTATAGGTAAAGCATTTCAGTTGCGGTTGTGTAAGACTGGGTGTTGAATGAAGGCTGGCAAGCTACAAAAAGAATGAATTCTGGTATGTTGTTTTTAAGGCTTCAGGCCTCCCTTTGGAAATTGTATTTTGTGTCAAATAATTACTACAATTTAAGGCTGAAATAGATTAGTAGTATCATTGTCTTTTAAAAGACTTCTCAGAGACACACAGCAAAAGGAGAGGAGGCAATGGGGATGAAGTAAGTTGTAAAAGAGAGAAATTCTGGTTTGGTGCAAGGAAAGAATTTTTCACGGTGAGGGTCACACAGTCCTGAGACAGGTGCCCAGAGAATATCTCTGTCTGTGGATGTTCAAAACTCAACTGGACGAGGCCCTGAGCATGCTAACCTCACTTAAAGGTTCACTGCTGGAGTATATTGGACTAGAGAGCTCCAGAAGTCCCTTTCCGAATAAATCTTCCTGTGATTTCTTTTTTGTTTTGTTTCATTTTGTCATGTTTATAGTTTCTCTTTGTGTAGTCTTGCCTTCTAATACATACAAAATATATTACATGTCCTTTAAACTGAAAGTTGATGGTGTTTCTCTAAGCTTTTCACAGGAATGCATGTTTTCTTTGAAAGGCGCTTGTAATGAAGAACTATATTTTACAGAATGTTAGCACATTTTATTGTTGTCTTTGTTCATCAAGGATAGCTCAGATTTAAAGTGCAGTTAAGCCTCAGGGTGGTTCAGACTACCTCGGTTCCTTGCTCAGTTGTGACCTCAACTGTGTTACAGGATCCATGGTTTAAAATCTGGCAAAACTTTAAAGGAATTCCGTGGTCATTCCTCCTTTGTCAATGAAGCTACTTTTACCCAGGATGGCCACTATATTATCAGCGCATCCTCTGATGGCACAGTGAAGGTAATATAGCATCTACTCTTTGTAAATAAAATGTGTGAAGTGTTTGCGTGTTCTAGAATGTCTTTTACAACTACTGCAGTCCTTAGAGAAATTATGTCTTGGGTTGTATGTGTAACGTATCTTTTTGCTTGTGACCTTAGCTGTAAACTGATTCAAATGAGAACTGGTGAAGTTTCCTACTCTGCTTACAGACTGCTGCACAACCCGTTTCTGCTGTATTTACGAAAGGAGTAGTCCCCTGCCTGTTGCTGCTTTATTCTGGAAATCAAATTGTGCACCCTCTTTTCCTAGAATGTTGGGGTTCCTATGTCTGAAATAATAGCTTTTTCTTGCTTACTGTGTTGGATACCTATTTATTTCTTGAAGCTTTAGGAGTCCTTAGCCGTATAATCTAGATAATGCAGCATAAATGAAACTGAAGGACGTTCCAGGGATGGTTTCTCCCTGTTATCTGAGCAAAGAATGGCTCTGCTCAGTGTAGAATAGTTAAGAGTTTACTGACTAAACTGACTACAGGGATGAATATAGAAGGAGATGCGCTAAGCAGAGTATTGATCCAGCATGTAAGGGGATGAGTAAGTTATATCCAGTTTGTAGATGTGGGATAGGGGAATGCAGTGGCTCTTGCTAGTATTAATTAGCAAGTATTAATTAGTAATTATTGCTGGTATAAATTATTAATTAATTAATTTAAACTTGCACTCTTTGTAGGCTGCCACTGATCATAGCAATAGCATAAGAAGATGGTGTCTCTTTTTTTGATTGTACTAGTATGTAATCTGCAAAATTATTCTGCAGGTGGTTAGTTACACTTTCATTTTGAAAATGAAACAAGCAGTTCCGTTTCCCGTGTCTGAACGGTTGGAATAGCCTGTTGTAACTCTAGTGCCTGAAACAGCTCTAAGTTGGGACATCTTTCCTATCGGTATCAGCGAGGCCTTACTTTTTTAGCAGCTCTTCCTGTCCATCTTAGGTAGGTAGGTAGGTTGCATGCGCAGAGACTACGCAAGTATTTACAGATGCCACCTAAAACCAGAAAGCGCGTGTGGACTTATCCCTAAGGGCAAGGCTTAATGAAAGCAATCCAGGCTGAATTTGGGGTAGAAAAATTTGCGCTCCGTTCACTCATAGTGAAGTTATTCGTGGTATCTACGCTTCGAAATACGTGCGTTCATCTTCTGTTTTTAAAATCTACTTCTAACTACTATTTTTGGAATTCACGTTTCTTTTTCGGAGAGAAAAATCTTAATCCTGTATCTTAATTCAGTTCCAAAACGAGTCTATTTTCCTGTAATTTTTCTAATCCTAATTGTTTTTCTGTTTATGTTTCATGTTAGGTTTGGAATGTGAAGACAACAGAGTGCTCAAACACCTTCAAATCCCTCGGCAGCACTGCTGGGACAGATATTACTGTGAACAGTGTCATTCTGCTGCCTAAAAATCCGGAACACTTTGTCGTTTGCAACAGATCAAATACAGTTGTCATTATGAATATGCAGGGACAAGTATGTTACCTTACCGGTGTCCTTTCAGTCATTTCTAAGAATGCCAGAAACAGAGTTAATAACTTAGCTTTGGGTTAACCAGTTTCTCAAATTTACTTTCATGACAGACTACTCTGTACTCAGCTTTTTAGAATAGTTTGATCTAGCTGAGTATGTAATTACAGATAATGGACAGATCCTATTTTTAAACAGACCTTGTACTGGCTGAATATTTTTACCTTGAACGTGGTAATGATATGCAGCGGTTTAATGGTGCAAAATATTTTTGTGTGGTATCTTTACAGATTGTGAGAAGTTTCAGCTCTGGTAAGAGGGAAGGTGGTGACTTTGTCTGCTGTGCCCTTTCTCCACGTGGTGAATGGATCTACTGTGTTGGTGAAGATTTTGTGCTCTATTGCTTTAGCACTGTGACTGGCAAGCTGGAGAGAACTCTGACAGTAAGTTCTTAGCTGGAGCTTTTGCCGTGTTATAAATGTGGGTTTGATCTAAATGCAATTGATTACAAGGTACGTAAGGAGAAGTTCTGTACTCATGAATCTGTCACCTCAAGCAGCCATGTTTGGTAACGGACACATTCCTGAACACTTGGCTGTGGAATGTGTTTAGGTTTTTTGTATAACCCTTTTAATTTTAAAAGTCGAGAGACCTTTAGCCCATCAAGGCTACTGAGTGAACTGGTTCAAACTTTTAGTTGAGCTAGAGCAGATCTTGACCTGGGTTCCAGCTGATGGAGAATCATGAGCAAGGTGTCTTAAATTTGCCTTGGATTAAATAAACAAAAGAAGGATACCAGCTTGAATGACTATAAGCTTAATCGGTGACGCTTAAATGTAGCGCATTTCAGTGCGTATAGGTGGCTAAACGCTGCCGCTCCTATAACTAGCGATTGGAACTGGAACTTAATATCGAGCAATTGTGTTCCTCTGCTTTTGCTGTGTGCCTAAAGCATGTTAAACCTTAGTCCTGTTTTCCTGTTCTTTTTGTTCTTGTTTTGAAGAGATCTTGTTCTTATTTGAAAAGATTATTTGGCTTGCATCACTGCTAAAAGAAGAATCTCCTGATGCTTGCTTCTGCTTGTTCTCTAGGTCCATGAAAAAGATGTCATTGGCATTGCTCATCATCCCCACCAGAACCTAATTGCCACTTACAGTGAAGATGGGCTCCTCAAACTCTGGAAGCCGTAGCTTGCTCTTCAGTGAGCTATGAAGTGTGCCTGTTGTGTGCAGGGTATTGATGTTTGTGCTTCTACGAGGTCTGAATCTCTTGAGCTCGATACTTGCTCAGTTTTCATTTCAGGTTTCCAGAAAACACCTTTTTAAATTCTTGATCTAAAATTAGCTAGATTGATGCTAGATACAGCATCAGTTCGGTTTGAATGCTTTTACTTTTACTTTTACCAGAGTAGCTGAAACAACTTCTGTGGGAATGATTATTCTGTCTCCTGAAGTCTGTGCTCTTCTTATGTTGTTTATAAAAGTGATTGAGCTAGAAACTATACCTATTTATAAGTGGCCACTGATTTCTTAGAATGCAGTCAACTGCTTTTTTTATTTGAGTGAATGATGCAGTAGAAGGCTATCTCTTCTCTACTCCTGAAATGAAGGGAATGCAAGGGAACCTACTCTGTCCATAGCTTCGAGGCAGAAGCATTTCTAGTCCGTTGTGTTTTGCTCTGTTTCATTTTTGCTATAGTTCTTCCAAAAATACCTATCAAGTAGTGTCATATGGCTTTCTCGGTATGGAGCTAATTCCTCATCCTTTTTCCCATCTCCCAGCACTTTCCCCTAAAAACTTGCCTCATGTGGCAGTGAACTGTAATACTATTTTTTGTCTTTTTTTGTCTTTAATTTTCCTTCCAGGCAAAAAAAAAAAAAAAAAGAATTGCCTGGGCCCTCATCCTATGAGTGCGTAAAGTGTTCAGACCAGCTTTAGGACTGCAGCCGACCTCAGGGGATCAACACTTTAGAACACGCAAAAGCCTGTTTTACATAGGCCAAGTTCCCAATGTTGTGATGCTGTTGTGATGCTTGCGTTAATGCTTTGAATTTCAGTTCACCCTTATCCTTCTTCTCCCTGCAGAAGGGGACAGCATGCTGGTGCTTTAAACAATATTTGTAAAAGTTTTTTTAATCGCATATACCCATGGACCTTGATAAAGGTAACACTTAGTGTTACGTAGGTTCCGCCCTATGATAAGGAGAAGCTTTTAAGCCCTTCAGTTTGGTGGAGAAGGTGATGGTTCTGTCTGAAATCGTGACTACTGGAGACCATTGTGAACCAGAACCGTGTTAAAATCCAACCATAGTTTCTCTAGGATGCAACTAAAGTCAAGGTTTTGTCTGTAATGATTAGACAAGCACATGCAGATTTGAATCTGGCGTGCTGTGTTCTGTCCTGATCTCTTGTAGAATGCCTTCCTGCAGCAGTGATCTTTGAAACAGTAATAATTTCCTCTGTGAGTTAATAAATTTCAATTTAAATAACCTCACATTTTTCTCAGCTGATGAAATTGGTCCTAAAGCAAGTATCAGTCATCGGCCTGTGACTGGCATCCTTCAGCATTGACCGGTGCTCATTTGATCTATGTTCATGTGTAGAAAAATGCAGAAAGTTTTTAGCATAAATTCTCACATAGTATTGCTTGTTCACTGCAGCTGTAGTGTTTAGTTCTGCATAAGCAGTAATGTTAAGTCTTAAGTTGTTTTTTACTTCCTTAAGTATGGCAATAAAGTTATTTTTTAGATAGCAAAAAGTGATTATTTTTCCTATGTGAAAATATACTGTTTTGTCAGAACTAATTCACAAGCTCTACTGGCGGTTTATACTTTTCATACAGGAAATGATTTGCCAAAATATTTTCAATATTATCTAACATGGGGCTCACTTCTATTCCGGATTACATGGAGTTGCCAGTCCTCAGTATAAACTAGATCTTACGTTGCTCCTTAAAAGAAAAGTAGTTATATAAATAAATTGTCTGTCAAAATCCTGAATGTTTAAAGATTGAAATACATTTTCTAGTTTTAAAATGCAAGAGACAAAAATCTGGCCTCTCTTACCTTTTTATTTAGGATTTTCAGAATCTTTCTTGTCTTCAAGTACTCAAAATGTAGAAAAGAGAAATGTACTAATGTTTATGGAAGGACAGTGGAAAGACTATCCATCTCCTTGGATGTGGCCATAATTTGTAAAATAGCTGGTACTTGGCACAAGATTACAATGATATACTTTAAAATGTTCTTAATATTTTAACATCGCCTAGAAAGAGCTCTGCAAAATATGCCACGTGTCATGCTGCAAGACTTGCACAAGGCTATATCTAATGCTTTAATTAGCATTAAAGAAATCATTGTTCACTGCTTGCCTATTGGCCTTACTTTATTGTTGGATTATTTCTCTTAGAACTACCTAGTTATTTTGCACACAGATCTGCAGAATTCCTTGCCAGAGGAGTGCTATATAATGAAGGTCTTGTAGGTCAGCTCATGCATTATGCACTGACTTAATCCTCCTATGTCTGCAGTGGGGATCGTTGAATTTTAGCCTGGCTTGTGAGGAAGCAGCCACCTGTCCATACGTACCTGCAGAGTGTACGTGTAAGAGCTGCTGCCATTTCAGCAAAAAAGCAAGCAAGCTTATGTTACTGCGTAGTTCTGTAAGTGTGGACGGAAGTTGATTTTTCCCCCGCCCCGGGGAAGTATTTTGGCCAAGTAGTATATGTGCCTGTTGATATCGGGTATAGTCCTGTTCAGAGACCATAACTATCTTGCCATCTGCAAAGAAAAATGAAACCCTCCCTTGATTGCTAATAAGATTTAGAGAGAGATCAGCTGAAGACTCAGTCACTTCCTGCGGAAACTCCTTCTGGAAAGAGAAATCTTTTGCAAATGTCCTTTAAAGCAGCTAAATTGTCATGAGGTAAGAGAAAAGTGCTTTATGGAAGTTCGGGATCATCACGAAATAGGAAGTAGTAGAAATGTCACTAGTTTCTTGCAACTAGCAGTACAACCTCCTGACACTACTGAATGACTGCAGTAGTTTGATTTCTTAGAGGTAAATCCAAGTAAGAATGTGGTGAAATGCAAATATTTCAACTGCGGAGTGCAGAGAAAATCTTGCAGACCTCTGCTTGGTAAGCTAAGTTACTGATAACTGTAAGGAGAACAGGCAGTGGGCACAAACACCTACAGGAAATTCCACTTAAACATGCTGCAGGGGTAATCAAACACTAAGCAGGTCTCTTGGACTCGATACGGAGTCTCCATCCTTGAAGACAGTCAGAACCTGACTGGACAAAGTCCTGGTCTACCTGCTTTAGTTTTACCCTGCTCTGAGCAGGGCTTAGGGTAGATGTTCTCCAGAGGTGCCTTCCAGCCTCGGTGATTCTGTGTATTGCAGAGGATTTTAAACTACATGCTTGGTTGAGGGGCCTGCCTGTGATCGTAGGCAGCTTGATAGCACCTGTGTTCAGTCTGTGACCAGAAGGGACAGAAAATGTTTGGCGGAGATTTATAAGAAAGTTGATGCTGAAAATCGGTTATAAATGTTCTTCCAGGACTGTTTCCAGCAGTGCTACCTCTAAAGATAGCTAAGATGTTTATGGCCTAAGTGATCAACAGAGGCTATTGTGATTAACACCTAATGAGTAGCTTTTCTTGCTGCATAGTGTCTGCTTGTATTTGAGGAGCCCTTTTTAAGGATGGCTACTTCATTTCCGATTCCTATTCGTGATCTTGCCTCCAGGAACTCTTCAAGAGAGGGTTATAAAGAGACCCAAGGCCTTTCTGGAAAATTGCAGCTTATGATACATAGGCTGAGTGAACTCAGAGCTGACTATTGGGAAAAGTCTAGAGTGCAGGTGAATGTGAGGAGCAAGGTGGCTATATGGGTAAAAGTACTTTGGGTACTATGTACTATGTACTTTGGGTTAAAGTAGGAATCACATACTGGAATGCTTCAGCTCTTCATGGTTGGAAATACCCTGAGTTGGATGCTGATAAGGCTAGGAGATGCAGGAGACATTGTTGTGCTCCCTCCAAGAGGTGCTGTTTGTTATGAAACAGTATTTCTGTGGGTTATGAAGCCTAATTTTCAATTTCTTTGTATCCTTCAGAATACAAAATCACCTCTGTTTAGTAACAGGTTTCTCTGATACGTGCTAGTCAACACAGCAGAGGGTGCTAGTCTGGGAACAGGTATGTGCTGCTGCCAGCTCGTTAAGGTTTTCCTGTCGTGCCAAATTCAGAGCTTTGTAAATGAAATCAACAATTAACCTGTATTGCTTTAGGAACTGTAATAGCACTCACTTTGCTTCAGAAGAAAACATAGAACCTAGCATTTCTTAATCCCTGGTTTTGAAAAGGATGCTTTAAATGAGACACAACCTTGCTCCTGGCTTCCCTTAGTGTGACTGCAGCTCAAAGCATGAGCAGGGCACAACTAGAAGCAGGAACCTCTCTTCCCGTATTAAGTCACCAATGATAGAGTAGTTCAAAGAGGAGATGGGGGCATGGAGCTTATTCCACAGCACTGAGCCAACTTTTCACACTGCTGCTGGGTGCTGGATAGTAGGTAGGCGAAGCACAAGGAAGAAAGGACAATTGGGGCCCTGAAGTTGTACAGACAGAAGCAAAAATGAAAGCAGGCTCTTAAAGGAGTCTACAGGGGGAGTTCTCAGAGTTTTACAGCAAATCTGTGGTACAGTAGAGTTGCCAAATTTTTAGGGGGAAAAAGGAGGTTCTACAAGCTTGGTGCAGCAGGTAGTCAGGGTGGATAGCCCAAGTCACGGAGGCATCCCTCGCCAGCCACAGTCTTGTGTGTCCAGGCAGTGTCTGTGCTGTGAGCAGTAAAGCCGTTGCTGTCAGGGCAATGGGCTCAGCAAGTTACTGCCTGGCTGAGTGCAGATGCTTGTTGGACCAGATGAAATCCTCTCTCTCCTGAGGGTAGACATCTAGAAGTGTGGTAGCCTTTCCTCATGTTGCTACGTGAAATAGGTAGCAGGGGGTGCTTTGTTCTTCCCCGTAATGGTGTTACTAGCACAAAAGAAGATTGGTGGGAGGGATGTGGTTTTTATGTCAGTCACTGGCTTGCCCAGGAAGGCAAAGCCCATCTGGAGTTTAATCTGGTAAGGGATGTCAAAGACAACAAGAAGGGCTTCTGTAAATACATTAGTAGCAAAAGGGAGACTAGGGGAAATGTGGACCTGCTGCTGAATGGGGCTGGGGCTCTAGTGACAAAGGATACAGAGAAGGCAGAATGCCTTCTTCCCCTCAGTCTTTACTGGTAAGACCAGTCTGGCCTTCAGGAATCCCAGGCTGTGGAGACCAAGGATAAAGTCTGGAGAAAGGAAGACTTTCCCGTAGTGGAGGAGGATCAGGTTCAGGATCACTTAAGCAAAATGGACATATGCAAGCCTGTAGGCCCTGATGGGGTGCACCAAAGGGTGCGGAGTGAGCTGGCTGATGTCACTGCAAGGCCACTGTCCGTTATCTTTGAAAGTCAATGGCAATTAGGAGGGGTGCCTGAGGCCTGGGAGAAAGCAAATGTCACGCCAGTCTTCAAAGGGCAAGAAGGAAGACTCGGGGAAGTGCAGGCCAGTCAACCTCACCTCTATCCCTGGAAACATAATGGAGCAGCTCATCCTGGACTCCATTTCCAAGCACACGAAGGACAAGAAGATGATCAGAGCAGTGAGCATAGATTCACGAAGAAGAAATCACGTTTCACCACTCTGATAGCCTTCTATGCCGGCATGATTGGCTGGGTAGCTGAGGGGAGAGCAGTGGATGTTGTCTACCTTAAGAAGGCTTTTGGCACCGTCTTGCACGATATCCTCATAAACAAGCGCATGAAGTAGGGGCTAGGTGAGCAGACGGTGAGGTGGTTTGAAAACTGCCCAAACAGCAAGAGCTCAGAGGGTTGGGATTAGTGGTGCAAAGTCTGGTTGGAGGCCGGTAGCCAGGGGTCAATACTGGATCCTGTTCAACATATTCATCAATGACCTGGATGGTGGGACAGAGGGCACCCTCAGCAAGTTTGCTGATGATACAAAACCAGGAGTGGCTGATGCACCAGAGGGCTGTGCTGCCCTTCAGAGGGACCTCAACAGGCTGGAGGGATGAGCTGAGAGGAGCCTCATGCAGTTCAATAAAGGGAAGTGCTGAGTCCTGCACCTAGCGAGGAATAACACTGTGCACCAGTACTGGCTGGGGGTTGACCTGCTGGGAAACAGCTCTGCACAGATGGACCTGGGAGTCCCGGTGGACAACAAGTTGACCATGAGGCATCAATGTGCCCTTGTGGCCAAGAAGGTCAATGGTGTCCTGGGTTGCATGAGGAAGTGCGAGGCCATACCTGGAGTATTATATGCAGTTCTAGGCTCCCTAATACAAAAGTGACGTGCCACTACTGGAGAGCATGCGGTGGACAGCTACTAAGATGATGAGGGGACTGGAGCCTCTCTCCTAGGAGGAAAGACTGAGGGAGCTG